GCTAAGGCATCAAATACATGGGTGGTCACCCAGAGCCTTGCCTTTGTAAGTATTTGATTAAGAGCACACATGGGCAATATTTTATATATCTTCATCGCCACATCACAAGGTAACAAACTTTTATCACCGCAGAAGTTTCCTCATGCCCCTTTGTATTTGAATCCCCTCTCCAACCTCAACCCACAGATCTGATTTCTGCCTCTGTAGATTAGTTGGCATTTTTTTACAACTGTATAAATGGAATCACCCAGTGTATCCTTTCTCGCTTCCTTCACTCAGCATTATTTTGAGATCCATCTGTGTTATAGCAAGTGTTAATAGTCTGCCTTTTTATTTTTAAGCCAGCTTTTTTCTTTTTAATATGTCTTTATTGATTTCAGAGAGAGAGAGATAGAAACATCAATGATGAGAGAGTCATTGATCGGCTGCCTCCTGCACACCCCTCACTGGAGATCGAGCCCGCAACCCGGGCATGTGCCTTGACCGGGAATCAAACCTCGATCTCCTGGATCATATATGTCAATACTCAACCACCGAGCCACACTGGCCGGCCTGCCTTTTTTTTTTTAAAAAAGTGTCTTATTTTTTTTATGTTTTTATTGATTTTTAGAGAGAGAGGGAGAGAGAGGGGAGAGAGAGAGAATCAGCTGCCTCCTGCACGCACTCCAACTGGGGATCGAGCCCGCAGCCCAGGCATGTGCCCTGACCAGGAATTTAACCAGTGACCCTTTGGTGCACAGGATGTTCAACTGACTGAGTCACATTGGCCAGGGCAACAGTCTGTTCCTTCTTATTGCTGAGAGTATTCCACTGTACCGATGTCCCAGTGGAATCCCATTTACCTGATGTACCCATTTACCCGATGATGGGCACCTGGGCTGCTTCAAGTTTTGCACTATTGCAAATATAGCTACTATGATGATTCATAGCATTTTTATGAACAAAATTTTGTGTGGACATTGATTTTTGTTTTCTTGAGTAAATGCATAGGAGTGGGATGGCTGGATCACATGGGTGTGTGTTTAACTTTTGAAGAATTGGTCAAAATGTTTCCCAGAGCAGTTATACCATCCCTTCAAGTTCAAGTTGTCATCAAATAGCCCTTCATTGGTTATGTGGGTCAGAAACTTTGTGTGAAAAGAAATCAGTGTTGAAATGAAATCTTGATATGCTAGTCTCACACATACATCCTGAGGGCTGCAGGTCCACCAGGCATTTCTAAGAGCAGTAAGAGGACAAATGCAGGAGGACCGTCCACCCCAGCCTAAAGAGTCAGATACTATTGAACATCCCCAACCCTGTGCCCAATCTTGGAAAGCAGCGTGGCTCCCTTTAAACCAAGCCAGTCCCCAGAAACCTGAGTTCTGGGGCCAGACAAGCAGGGTTGAATCCCACTCAGCCAGTATCTTCTTGCTATTTGACTGTGGCCAAGTGACTTAACCTCTGGGCATCTCTGGTGACTCATCCATAAAATTCAAATATTGATAGTGCCTGCCTTAAGGTGCTGCTATGAGGTGTGACCAAGTCAATGGCTGGCAGAGACATGGGGGCTCTCTAAAGCCGTGTTTCTCCATGCAGATCCTCCTGCTAGACAGGCGAGGATCCCAATGACCTTAGGCTTTTTGAAGTTATGGAATCAGGGTCTCCAGAGGGGCCTCTGAGCACTCTGTTGACTCCTTCCTGGCCCGAACTCACTTCAGAAGGTACCAAGGGGTAGAACTTAGGGGATGCCCTCCTCCTCCCACCCCAAATTACAGATGCCGTATCTGCTAAAGATTCCAGCAGTGTGACTCCACCTGCATCCAGCCTACTGGGTAGGGCAGATGTTTTGGTTTCTTTGAGCAAAATATGAGAAGTACCATTTCTGCCTCAAGACCCATGGAAAGCGGTATCGGTACAGGTGAGTGCCTTTCAAACTTCTGTGTTCCTCTAATTTTAATAGCCTTTGCCAGGAATTCTTAGACTTTAGTGGCCAGCAGAACCACCTGAAGAACTAGTAAATGTGCAGATTCCTGAGCCCTACCTCCAGAGGCTCTGATTCCATAGGTCTGGCGATTCCCCCAAATCCGCATTGCTAAAAAGCTGTCAGTGGATGATACTTGGAGTAGAACTGTCATGTATAACTTTCCTTTTCCTTCTGCTAGAGAAAGTAGAGGGGTCTACTTGGGTACAGGTCTTTATGTAAGGTGGTGTTGTTACTGGTAGTTGGATAATTTAGAACTGTGTTTCTCAGTTCAAATTATATTGTGGACCAGAAAGATACATTTACTCACTTAGGGTTGAGTGGGCCAAGGAGATGGGGAGGGAGAGCAATGACCGGCAAAGGGAGTGAAACTAGAATGTAACTCGGAGTGGTTTGGGGTTTGGCAATGTTCTCCTTTGTATCCCAACGCCTCCCAGGCGCAGACCATGAGTGCCTCTGAATTTCTGAGTAAATGAATGAATAGCCAACACGAAAGCACAGTGGCTTTTGTAGATGCCCGATATCTCCTTTATTTTTAGTTTGCTGAGAGTTCATTCATGAGCAGGTATCGAGTCGTGTCAGATGCTTTTCTGCATTTATCAAAAAAGATCACAGAGTTTTGGCTTATTTTGTTAATATGGTGACTTAAATTGATTGCCTTTCCAACTATTAAACCAATCTCGTATTTCTTGGACAAACACCACTTGGTCATGGTGCACTACCCCTTTCAAATATATCGCTGGATTTGATTCGCCAATATTTAGTCAAGGGTTTTGGTCTATATGTTCATGAGGGATCTGGGTCTGTAGTTTTTTTTTATTGCAATATTTTTGTCTGGTTTTGGTATCAGGATTGTGCTGGCCTCATAAAATGGTTTGGGAAATATTCCATCTTATATTTCAGATAGTTTGTATAAGATTAGTGTCATTTCTTCCATAAATGTTTGACAGAATTCACTAGAAAAATCATCTAGTTCTGGAGTTTTCTTTGTGGGAAAGTTTTTTTTTTTATCGTTAACTAAAGTTCTATAATAAATGAAGTCTGCCATTTCATTTCATGTCAGTTTTAGTAAATTGAATTTTAAAGTTTTTTTCCGTTTCATTTAAATTGTTGAATTTGTTAAGATACAGTCAATATAATATTTCTTTGTTATTCTGTTAAAGTCTGTAAGATCTGTAGCAATAACGATTCTTTCATATCTGCTGTTGACAGTTTCTGTTCCCTTTTTATTTTCAATCAATCTAGCTAGTGTTTAATTACCTTTACAAATATTTTTCAAACAACCAGTTTTTGTTGTATACATTTTCTTCTTTTATCTTTATTATTTCCTCCCTTCTACTTACTTTGGGTTTAATTTGTTCTTCTCTTTCTAGTTTCTGAGTCACCACTTTTAGATAATTGATTTGTAAGCCTTTCTGCTTTCTAATTAAAGCATTTAAAGCTATAACATTTTCTCTAAGCACTGCTTTAGTTGCACCTCATAAATTCTGATATGTGCTATTTTCATTGTTATTCAGTTCAAAATATTTTACAATTTGCCTTGTGATTACTTCTTTAACTCATAGGTTCTTCAGAAGTATGTTGTTGTACTTCCAAATTGTTGAGGTTTTTCTAGATATCTTATTATTATTGATTTTTAGTTCCTTTGGGATCTTTTGTCATTTTGTTTCTCTGCTGAAATTTCTTATCTTTTCATTCATTATGAACATTTTTTCCTTTATCCCCTTGAGCATTGTTATACTAGTTGCATTTTCATCCTATTTGCAAATTCCACATCTAGATCATTTCGGGGTCAGTTTTTTGACTGCCCTTTGTTCTGAGTATGGGCTGTATTTTCCTATTTCTTCACATGCTGAGTAATTTTCTATTGTATCCTGAATATTATGAAAGTTGTGTTGAGGAGACTGGATTCTGTTTTATTCTTTGGATAAATATTGATTGTTTATATGTTGCTTGTTTGTTTAGCACACAATTAACTTGGCTGGCTCAGATTCTAAACTCTGCCTCCCTGATGTGGGCAGCAGCTCAAATCTCGGTTCAGTTCTTTTAGCTTTCACTGGTGCATTCAGGGTTCAGGGGTCAGCCAAACATTTCTACGGCAGAGATATACACAGAACTTGGGGTGCATGTTCTCTAGCCCTTTCCTAAGAGAAATGTTGCTCCATTTGTGTCATCTCTTTTTGGACATGTTCCAGAAGACAGCAAGGTTTTTCAAACAATCCTGTCATTAAGACTTTTACATTTTATGGGCTGAAGGAAAGGAGGGAGTGGACGAAGAAAGCAAGGAAGGGAGAGAGGAAAGCAGACATAGTAAATGCTCACTAGATATTTGTTAAATCAATGAGGAAGTGGCTCTGGGATCATTAGTTCTATGTTATAAATGAGGACCTAATATTCAAAAAAATTCAATAGCTTGGCGAGGAACACAGTAATGGGGCCCAAATTTGATCTCAGGTCTTTGAATCCAATTTCATTTCCTTTTTCCTACACCTAGGAGATGGTTCTAGCTTAGTGTTATTCAAATACCAATCTTCAAGGAGATAAGGGACTTGTGACGGGATGTAAATTAATGCATTGCTTCCTTCATCAAGAAAATCCTGATAATGCCCTGGCCGGGTGGCTCAGTTGATTAGAGCATCTTCTCATGCACTGGAGGGTCATGGCTCATTTCCTGGCCGGGGCACAGACCTCGGCTGTGGGTTTGATCCCCTGTCAGGGTTCGTACAGGAGGCAACCGATTGATGTATCTCTCTGACATCAATGTTTCTCTCTCTCTTTCTCTCTCTCTTGCTCTCACTCTCTCTAAAATCAATTTTTTAAAAAAAAATCCTGCTAAGAAAGAACTGCTAACTAAACTAAGGAGTATGCTTAATGACTCCGTGTCCTGGTGAAAGTTTCTAATCTCATTACAAACAATTCACCTGGTAGCTGAACCGCAGACAACACATTTCTGTAATACGAATTCTCCTGAACTCTAGCCTAACCACATGGCTTTAAACTCCATGTCTGTATCATTTCAGATGCTCTCAATGTCTAGATGGACCCCTCAGGCATCCCAGAGTCCACCACCCCTTATGATTATGATTTGCAGAGCTTCGTGTGTGAGAATCAGACCTTCACCTTTGCTACCTTCAGCACCACCGTCCTGTACTGCCTGGTGTTCCTCCTCAGCCTGGTGGGCAACAGCCTGGTGCTGTGGGTCCTGGTGAAATACGAGAGCCTGGAGGCCCTCACCAACGTCTTCATCCTCAACCTGTGCCTCTCAGACCTGGCGTTCTCCTTCTTGTTGCCCCTCTGGGTTTTGGAATACCACTGGGGTTGGGTGCTGGGAGACTTCTTCTGCAAGCTCTTCAACATGATCTTCTCCATCAGCCTCTTCAGCAGCATCTTCTTCCTGACCATCATGACCATCCACCGCTATCTGTCCGTGGTGAGCCCCCTCTCGTCCCTGAGAGTCCACACCCTCCGGTGTCGCGTGCTGGTGACCGCGGCCGTGTGGGCAGTCAGCGTCCTGTCTTCCATCCCCGACACCATCTTCCACAAAGTGTTTTATCCCCCGGAACCTTCATCAGAACCTTCCAGGTGCGATTACTCAGAACTCAAGTGGTACCTGGCCTCGGTCTACCAGCACAACGCCTTCTTCCTGCTCTCCATGGGGGTGATCGTGTTCTGCTACGTGGAGATCCTCAGGACGCTGTTCCACGCGCGGGCCAGCCGGCACCGGCGGACGGTGAGGCTCATCCTCACCATCGTGTCTGCCCACTTCGTCAGCTGGGCGCCCTACAACCTCGTGCTGTTCCTGAAGACGCTGCTCCGGCTCGACGTGATTCGGGGCTGCGCGCTCCACTGGCAGCTGGACTACGCCCTGGTCGTCTGCCGCGACGTCGCCTTCTCCCACTGCTGCTTCAACCCGGTGCTCTACGTGTTCGTGGGGGTCAAGTTCCGCAGACACCTCAAGAGCCTGCTGGGGCGCTCCTGGCTCTGCCGGCCGCAGGCCCCCGGCGCCTCCCCGTTCCCTCGCTCCCCGGGCGCCTTCCACTACGAGGGCGCCTCCTTCTACTGAGGGGCAGGTTGGGGGGCCACGGGCAGTGGTGCAGGACGGGGCATCGGGGTGCTGCGGCTGCAGAAACCCATCCCCCCAGGGGGTCCTGCACGCCCCTCTCCTGCAGAAAAGGGGCTCCCCACCTGGACCGTTTGCATTGCCCTCGAGAAAAAAATACTTCTTGGATTCCGAGTTTAGGATTCTTCCCTTCATTTGTGCATTCCTTTAGACGCGGATTTCTTACCATTGCTTAGTTCAGGAGGTTCTAAAACGTGAAAGGGTCCTCAGGAAGGAGCTTCCCTCGGGGCCTGCTGCGGGGCTGGCTTGCCGCTCGGGTGTGATGGCTGGGCAACGGCAGGCTGCCGGCAAGGAGCCCTCCCGTCCCGACTGTGGGTGTCCCAGCTGAGTTTGGAGACTGTTGCTTCTGTGCTCCTCGGTGACGACTGGATGAGACTGTCTGCAGAACAAAAGTAACCACAGCCTCGCCCTGGCCGGGTGACTCAGTGGGTCGGAGCATCGTCCATGCATCAAAGGGGTTGTGGTTCAATTCCTGGGCAGGGCACGCACCTAGGTTGTGGGTTAGATCACTGGTTAGGGCAAGCACGGGAGGCAACCCATCAATGTGTCTCTCACATTGGTGTTTTTCTCTCTTTCTCTCTCTCCCTTCCTCTCTCTCTAAAAAAAATCAATAAAAGCATGTCCTCAGTGAGGCTTTTAAAAAAAAAATCCCTTAAAAAATGTAGCCACTTCCTCAAATAAGCATAGTCAGAACAAAATCTGGATTCTAAAAGCCCACAGCTGGACTGGATATGTGTTCTGTATCATAATTCCAATTTCTAGCACATGAACAAGCACTTGCATATTTAGTCCACAGATCTTTTATTGAAGGAAAAAAAGAATGCAATAAGTGCTACGTTCTGCACAAGGCATGTACTTGAAGGATATAAAGATCATCAAGATACAGTTGCTACCCTCCAGGTGCCACCATCCAGCTCTGAAGGCCCAGACTTGCACCCACCTGGTGAAGGCACCCAAGGTAAAGATTCCTCCAACATCTCATTCTCTCCAGGGGGCTGCTGAGCTGGCACTTCAGATTCATCACTTTCACCTGAAATGTCCCCCCCTGCTTGGTTGATGGCACCAGCTTCCCCCATCCCCAACCCCCAGTCACTGACCCTCCAAACCTGAGTCATCTTCTAGCCCCGCCTTTCCTTTCCCTCCATGCCCATGGCCAAGTTCTGCTGACCCTGCCTTCCCAATGTCTCCCAGAGTTGTTCTTGCCATTGCATGGACCCATCCCCAGATGGCCTCGCTTCCCCAGCCTCTTCCTGCTGCTCCTCTCTTTCCCCGCCAGTGTCCCCTGCACTGAAACCAGGCTGCTCAAAATGCTTAGTGGCTCATTACACACAAACAAAGCCCCAACACCCTACTTAGAAACACTGGATGCAAGCTCTTGAAAATGGGAATTCCAGAATCTTCCACAGTCCTTGAGCAGGAATTTGCACAAAGTCACTGTGGTGCTCAATATATGCTTGTTGAATAAAGTATCTACTAATATAGCCCTCAGCTGGAGCCTAGAGAGCCTATAAGGCAGTTTTCCCCTTCAGTTCCAGCTACAAGTTCAATGCTCTAGTTGCCATTGGGTGGCAGCCTTGGAAGAGTGTGACCTTGCTGGGGAAGAGTGAGGGTCTAATTTTAAGAATTAGATCAGTAACACCTGCTGGAGAAGGCTGGGGAGCGCACCAGTGAAGGAACTAGCTAACCAATAGGTGGGGCCATCACCCACCACCCATTGAAGAAACAGCAAAAGGAAGGAGGCGATGAGATGGTTTCAGGGTCAGAGCTAAGCCTATGGGCTTCTGTCAGGCTAATTACTTGGCACTCCCTCAAACTGATAGTATTTAACTTTTGTTCAACTTTTATTTAGATGGTAGGCTGAGCCCAGGGAGCAGAAGGACAGAGGATTCCAGCTCACACACCCACTTGGCCAAACCAAAGCTCTATGGGTCTTGAGCCCACTCTTCTTAGAAGGCAGGTTTGGGGGTTCTTGTATCACCACAGAGCATGCCCTTTGAGAGGTTCGATCCACCATCTCCTTATCCATCCCATTCCTTCAAATCCCAAGATGCATATCCAAGTATTTCTTTCAACACATACAGCCATATCCCTAGGAGTACTTCATGAAATACAACCACGTCCATCTCTTTACACTTCTAGTGATGTTTTGGGACTTCCAATAGACTAGCACTTAGAGTGCTTTTTAACCAAGTCTTCTCCTGGCTCAGCTCCTTGGGAATCCAAGGATAGAGGCATGAAGACAGAGACGTATAAAACAGGAAGGCAGAGGGACATCCTATCAGAAAGGGAGCATGGGTGAGACCAGGGACCACATTCTACATTCTCAGACCACTCCTTTCATTAGCCACAACCTCCTGCTTTCCCCCCCTCCACCCACTGAAACCACTATTCAACCTCAACCCAACTTTTGTGGGCCTTTCCCTCCCCTAATAGTTGAAATATGATGCCTTGGACACATGGCTACGGACTTGCCACACCTGGAACATAAGAAGTCCCCAGCAGTACCTAAGGAAGATCCTCTTCAAGCATTTCCATCTCCACACTCTCTCAAACAAATTCAAGAGGAGAGGAACCTTGCTGATCTCTATATAGGAACGTGCCTCCAAGCCCAGAGCAGCCCCAGACCTCCAATGACCTCAGCCAGAGTGGAACTCCCCTGCGGGCACAATCTGTGTTACATATCTAGAAACTGCCTCACAATATCTGTGGTTGGTTGAGTAAGTGGATAGGAAACCATCTTTTGGGGGTTTTTTCCTACTTCCATTTCCTCTTCTGACACTTGCTTATGTTACATCTTCCAGTCAACTCCAGGTACCATCCATGGGATTCCCATGAATTCTCTGGAGCCCACCAGCCAGCCATCACCTGGTTTGTTGAATTCCTGGTGGCTTTCATTTGTGAAAGTTGCCTGTGATGGGACAAAGAAACCCACAAGTATGGAAAACCCAGTAGGAAAGATTCCCAAAGTAAACTGGCTGAGAAGCCTCTTGGGATTTGAGCCCTGGACCCAAACCCCAAATCCAAGCTCTTTTACTCATTCACTGTGACCTTGGGTCTCTCAGAGTCTCAGTGTCCTCATCTGTAAAACTGTATAAATGTCAACAACAGAAAGACAGATTCTACCCACACAGTGGAGGTGCACATGAGGTCATGTGTGTAAATTACTTGCTTTGTAAATCATTCAGCCCCAGACTAATATGAATTACTATTGCGAATTACTTGCTTTGTAAATCATTCAGTCCCAGACTAATATGAATTACTATTGCAATCATCCCATAAAAACAGAATCATTGTACCATATGCACAAATAAATTTCTACCCAAGATCATTTCATGTGATTCCTAAAAATTCTCTGCTTATGGGGGGAAGCTGGGTTAGGATTTGGGGTGAAGGGAGGGACACAGAAGACAGATTGGAGATAAAGAGTGGAACAAGCCCTGTGCGGGTCAGGATGGTGGGAAATTGGCTCCATGCAGGTCTTGGGCAAAACTGTCCGAGGCCAAGTCTGTCGAGTGCCCTCTAGCTCAGTTTCCCTCTGTCCCCTCTGGCCTAACACCCAAGTCTTCTGTCTCCAAGTCTAGGGCTTTTCCCTATCTCATGATGCAACTGTGTCTGAACAAGGACCTTCCAGAGATCAGCCCTCCAACCAGAAGGAATGATACTGCTTTCTGCTGGGAATGTCTTTTTCGTACTGTGTCGTTGGAATTCAGCTGTATTCCGCACTTAACACACGCACAATTCAACTCAAACTAGCTACATTCCAAATTCTCAAAAGCCACACATGGACGGGGCTGCTTTCGAGAAAGAGCCCCCCCTTTCCGTGGTTTGCGGGCACAAGCAGGGTTAACCTAGGACCTGCAGCCAGGTAGGACGAGCAGCTCCGCGGAGCACGCCGGGAGTTGTAGTCTGCGCCCATCTGCCCCTGCGGCCCGATGGGCGTTGTAGGCCCCGGGCTTGTGGAGCATGCCGGGAGTTGTAGTCCGCTCCCGGCCGTGGCGGGCGGTGCGTATCATGGCCGTCTGCGCCGCGCTCTCGCAGTCTTCCGCTTGGCCCCAGAAAGTTTCGGTTCTGCCCAGCGGTGGACCTACTAGCGCGTAAGTGCCCCCGGGGGGGCCGGCCGGACTCTGGGGGCGTCCAGGCAGCTCGCCCCCGGTGCGGAGAACTTCCTTCCAGGCGCGGCTTGTCACCTGTTGCTCTTTCCGTTCCCGCCCATCTCCGGTCTCCCACGGACCCCGCCGAGCCTGTGCCCCGCGGGCCTGGGAAGTACCCCAGGCGGGAGAAACGGGCCCTGGGGCCAGGCGGCCTCGGGTGACCAGTTAGAAAAACAGACACCC